AAATAAATAAAAAATAAAAATAAAAAATATAAACAAATGCCGTTATAAATAATGTAACTAAATGTTATTAAAAACAAGAAATGTGGTGGGCTCAAAAAAAAAAAAAAAAAGTCTAGGACCTGGATGAATCACTCTGAAAGTGATTGAGCAGTGCAGACTCAAGTTCAAATCTCAGAACCGTACATTGTTTTATGGCCGTGGGGAAGTCACGTAACATCTCTAAGCTTAGTTTTTCATCTGCACGATGAATGGAACAGTGAGCGCACTTATAACAGAGATGTATCTGTAACGTGCTTTCAGTAGAAGAGTTAGTGGTGGATAGATGCTCTGGGACTAGATCAGGCCAGAGCTGTGGTCTTGCACACTTTGGGGGTGGGGGGAGACAGAGGAGGGGTTCAGAGTCGGTTTGGCCACCCAGGCAAAAGCTACGGAGCTTTCACCTGTCAGGGGTACCTAGTTGAAAGCGGCTGATGGGGATCTGTGTACCTTGTCAACGCCCGAGACATCGGTCCATCCTTCCAGGACGGTGAAAGAAATCTGAGAAATCATGCACCCTTTTGAACTCTGTGGAAGGCACTGCTTTTATAGATGTGAACCCCATATCTCTGATGCTACTGCTTTAGGGAGGGTTCTGTCAAGGAGCTGACCAGAGAAACTGTAACCTCAGTGGTTTACAAGGCCAGCAGTATCCAGAAACGGCAGAGAGCCTATCCCCAGGAGATGAACTATGATTTCTTCCTAGGAAGCTATGACAGTTCTGTTCCTCTTTGCCAAATACTGAATTTCCAGGAGTTGTGACTTAGTTCTGGTCAACAAGATTTAAAAATGCAGAGTTCTGGGGAAGCTTACTTTCCTGATAAAGTAGGGAGATCAATCCCATCGCAGAGCTGTGGCAGCCACTTTGTAGCAAAAAGGAAACTAAGATGGGGGAATGGTAGGATAAAAAGTAGTGGCAAACTTATGGCATGCATGCTGCAAGCAGGCTGTATCATTCAAAGGTCTAAAAGGTTCACCATCTCTGGTCTAGGTCCACAATGAACCAAAACCTCACATCCAGATTTCTTATTAGGCAAGGAAAACTAAAGTACTCCTTAATGTCCTATAAATATTTAAAAATAAAAATAAATCTGTAAAGTCCATTAAGGGTCTGGGGAGATAGCTTAGTGGTCTAAGCTTAGTGCTGGCAAGCACAAGGACATGGGTTCAGTCCCTGGTATCAAATGCCATGCAAGCCCCAGGAACTGAGCCGGCCACTGAAACCAGGCATGGTGAAAACCAAGTATAGTGGAGCACACCTGTAATCCCAGCTGAGACAGGAGGAACACTATCGAGTCCTGTATAGCGAGACCCTGTACCAAATAAATAATAGTCTTATTAAGTCTGGCTGTGTTACTTAAAACATTTGTTGTTCTTGTTTTTGTAATGTCAGAGATTGAACCAAAGGCCTTTGTGCTAAGCTGCATTCCCAGCCCTAACCCCCCTTTTAAGATAGTCACTATATAGTTCAATCTGGCCTTGAACTCACTATGTAGCCCAGGATGGCCTCAGCCTCCCAAGTGTTTGGATTACAGGCTTGCACTACCATACCCAGCTTCTGCCCAGCTTTATTTATTTATTTTTTTTTATTTTGCAGAATCGGGGATTGAACTCAGATCCTTGTGTTTGCCAGTCAAGCGCTTATCCTACTGAGCCATCTCCCCAGCCCCTGCCCAGCTTTATTTTGAGAAAAGGTCTTACTAAGTCACTGAACTATTCATGCTGGGCTTGAACATGGTCTTCCTGCCTTGCCCTCCCAAAATGCAAAATGCATTCTCAATTGTTGCACTTTATTAGAACACAACTAGAAAAGGGCAGCTCATTGATGTGTAGTACGCGTGGGCCCATTTTGCCGTTAACTGCAAACCTTCTCCCAGCCTTTACCTGTATTCATTCTGCCCTCAGACATCACCAATCATTGTAAGATGGCTGAAGTCACTGCATCTAGCTGTCCTGCATCTCCTGCCTTCTAGCCAGCAGGTTGATGTCCAAATTCTGAGCTACAGGCAGGTTCAAACTCTTTTATTAGGAGTGTGAACAGAAGAGAGCCCCATTGGGCACAAATGTGGAACCGTAATTCCTGCTGGGCAACATGGAGTTTGGGCTTTGGGCCAATCTCATGGCACGGTCCAGTGAGCACCTCTGGCCTTATGCCTCCCCTGGTAAGGTCTACTCCAGTTCTGTTCTCCACATTCCCAGCCCCCAGGCTCACCTCCCACCTGCAAAAACAGAAGCAGGTCACAGAAGGCCATTCAAGAGGCTTTCTCCATTTTATTTCTTTGGGAAAGGAAAACGAAATCTTTCCATCACATATGGTAGATATATATTTATATATATATATATATATTTATATATAATTTATTTTGTGGTTGAACATCCCAAAACTGAGACTGGTTTTTTTGTTTTGTTTTGTTTTGTTTTTTCCTCTTCTTCTCCCAGTCCCTGTGGCTCATGCCCAGGTTCTGGGACAGTTGCAGTGAGGGGTGAGTGGAATGGGCAGTGGTTGCCAGGGTGGCCTCCTACCCAGCTCAGCGACCTGGTAGGGACCACCCAGAGGGGGCTGTGCAGATAAGAGGCCACACAGAGGGACACTCCTGTTTTTGTAGGGGATGCACAGCTCATTAAACAGTCACCAGTCATGGAAGGAGGCTGGTCAGGGTTGGGGGAACTTGCTCACAGTAGTTGCCAGCTCTCTCCACCCTGCCCCCAAACTCAATATTGGGAGTGGAAGAGAGAGTGAAAAAGAAATACAAGGGCTGAGGGCCAAGCCTCCTCCAATTTTTATTGCTGGTGAATTATAAATTTGCTTTCTTAGAAGATAACTTAAAATGTCCCTTCCGGTCTTGTGAAGTAAACTCTGAGGGCCCCCAGAGAAAGAAGTGATACAGACTGTCCCAAACCCTACTGGTGGCCTTCCAGGCCTCCCTGGACAAATTTTTGAGCCAACTCAGAGCTTAGGCAAGGAACACCAAAGTGTCCCCCTTAGGTCAGCCTTGTTCTTCAAGGACAATCACATCCAACCCTCCTTGGGCCCTGAAACAAGGGCCTCAGGCCCTTGGACCAGTGGAGCTGGGAAGCACAAAGTGCACCAAAGATCAAGCAGAATTTTCTACTAGAACAAAAGTTAAGACTTTGGGGAAGAGGCAGCCTGGGAAGATGATGTTCTAAGCATGAAAGCAGGAGGCTAGAGAAGGCGGGTGAGGGAAGACACAGGAAGACATCACAGACACTCATCTGACCTCAGAAATTGGGCAAGGGGAGTGCCTGAGAGGCAGATTGCACTTAATAGCTGTAGTTAGAGCCAGACAGTGGCCCTGGGTGTGGGGTCAGCCAAGCAGCAGGGGTGGTTGCCCTGGGGGACCCTAGC